TACTTGAAACCCTGGTGTTAAAAATACATGCTGTTGGCAATGGGCCTAATTATATTAAGCAGCTCATTGCAGATTTTAGTTCTAAGAAAGTCATGGGTGATTACTTGGTTTTATTTCCTTAATTGTGTGACTGGCTTAAGTGTGTCTGCTTTGCTGTGACCTGGTATATTTTTGGAGGGTATTTTCAGAGTGTCTTTGCAATTCTTCAAGGTGCAAATTTAAACGTTCTTCAAACTCTCTTGTGTGCTTCTCTTCCTCTTGAAGGAACTTTTCTGCTGTTGCAAGGAAGGACATCTCAGGGGAGGACTGAGCAATGAATAGAAAATGATGGTTAGTAAAAAGCAGCAAGTACTACAACGTGTTTGCATTATCAAGTTTGTAGCTTTGAAAACCATTTCAACCTAGAGCAGCTAATAATTCTAAAACACTTTATAGCTCTCCAAGAGAGCATGAATTTAGTAATATATTTTTAAAGGCATAATGCGAACATGATGTTTGAATACCTGTGATATCCACAGCATTAGGATGTAGACTTGACATTGAAAACTTAAAAATCCCATTAGACAGAATTAAGCTGCTTCAGAACCTCCAGAATCTTTGAATCAGCTACAGGATATGTTAGTCACTTGTGTAATTTAGACCAGGACAGAGGACAATAATCTGTTTCTTGGAATTACAGCATTGGATATGGCTGATTGCCTCCTGCAATGTTAGCTCTCTCCTCCTGTGGTGTGCTGCTTTCTGAGGAAAGGAGGAAAACCTACGTGCATTTCAGTGCCATCAACTTCAGACCCTGACATTCTGGAGAGTGTACTAAATTTTATTCTCTGCAAGTAGTTCACTGAAAAATCTGCTTTCCATTTAATGAGCATTTAGTAGACTGAGACATAAACCATACTGAAATCGGTCTTAAAATGGTTGTCACGGGATGCAGAGTTGTAGAAAGCAAAGGACGAGTGAATTTTTGATGGAACAAGTCCTAAATTTTTAAGCAGCATTTTTTCTTAGTTCTTTCGCTAATGCTTAAGATGCATTCATTGGAATGTGTTTATCAAAAGAAATGTGAAGCAATTTTTCTTTGCCTAAAGGTATTATGCTTGTTTAAATAAATTCAGTGTTTGTTTGTATAGAGGAATAGTTTTATGACATGAATCTTTAAGTTGACTGAGAAAAAAACTTAGTATAGGAGCTGTAATACTGAGTGAGAGAGATAATTTTCTGTCTTTATATGATCATATATTGAGAAGGGTGTTTGACATTTATTATCTTAATTAAACCATATGTAAAATAGTTTTAATAACTGACTGAGTTATAAGTTTAGAATCTTTAGTTTTGTTTCTCCTGGAATTTAAAAGAGAGAGTTTCTCTGTCAGCACATCAAATAGGAAGGGCTTCAAATGGTTTATATATTCAAACGTTTTGTGGAAAGGCCAATTCTATGACACCTGTACCTTTTTATCCTAAGCTGCAGTCCATCAGAATCGGCTATTCGCCATTTCCACAGCAACTAGAGGCAGATTTGGTCTTTGCTTTCAGCCAGGTTTAAAACTGCCCTTTAGCAGTTTTTGCAGGCCAAAAGATACTAACTAGGTAAATGCTTTAAAGCAATATTCTTTCCACACTCTTTGCAGCAGACCTTGAGATAAAATGTAGAGATTTCCCATAAGAAACCCCTTTTCTTTTCAAAGTAGAGTAAGTAAGTGATAGGTGGAAATAAATTCTTCTAGAGTGAGGCAGACTTTCTGATGTATAGGGCTCCTAAAATGAAATTCACAGATAAAGCAGAATCTTCCTTTTCTCAGTCCCTCCAAATATTTAACAGGACAGGGAAGAAAAAGTTATTTAATCTGCCTTGTATAAAGAACCCAAAGCTATTGGATCACTCTGTGCCACAAAACTCTTGTACCAATCCCTGCACTAGCAGTGAATAGAAAGAAAGTTAATCTTCTAATATTTGAGAAAATCCAGAGGCAGATCACCTGCCTTCTGGTTTTCCTTATAGATGCATGCATGATGTCCCAGCCATAAATCATCAATGTTTTCACATGAAGAGTTGTTGCTGACAGTTTGAATGCCATGGCTACATGAACATTGATTCTTTCATGCGCTAGATTACACACCTATCCTTGCAACATTTGGATTCAACAACAGAGGTGGCACTACTACTATGAAGTATTAAAGAAGGCTTTTGTATTATGAAGAAGACACTGGATTTGGAGGCTTTACTTAGAGAATCACCATGTGTTTCATTTACTGAATGCCAGCTCTGAAATCACTGATTCAGCACTGTGCAAAGAAAATACTTCCAGTGAGACGCGTGCAAAACTGGGAAAATGTAAATCTGAAATGCAAATTTAATAGGTGGCGTCAAGAGAAAAAAAGTTATGTTGGGCTTTTCCATATGGACAGCAAATTTACATGAGCGTGAGTCTTGAGAAATGTTGCATCAAGTTATGAGAGCTTCACAGAGATTCATTATAACACTGTTTACAATTGCTGGCTTGTCATTAGAAACACGTTGACCCGATGACCAAGCTATCTTCCTAATAGGCTAGTGTCCTTTGCTATAACTGGGACTTACTTTGATGGGTTTTTCCTTCAAATACACTGTAAACTCCGAACGAGACATTTCTGAATTTCCTCAGAGATCAGAGAAGAATGTTCATCACTTAGAATAAGCAGATCATGGTTCCCTACAGCTCCTTACCTGAGGGTCAGACGCCGATTACCGTTTTGGATAGGTCCCTAATGCACTGGGTTTTATGCACTTTGAGAATAGGTTGTATCTAAACAGGTCTAAAAGGCAACATTTCTTGTTAGCAATTAAACTTTGCTTTCCAAGCCTCTGGTCTGTTCTTTCACTGTGTTCTTTATTGTCTTTACTTTTGATGCCTGAGGAATTAAAACTAAAGAAACTACTTTAATCCGTGTCTCAGCTGAGATTCATGGTCCCTAGGTTTGAATTTCTTTTCCTCAGATAACACTTCTTTATGTCTTTTGGTTTTCTAACTGAAGCTGAATAGAAATAGGTTCATTGGCAAGCTTTCACCCTAAACTGTTTGGGTAGTTAGGCAACAAGGACTCTATGTCTTCATTTCTACAGACTCAGCTGATCCCGTATTTCTTTGCTGTACACCAAGAATAGTAATCACCTTTTTGCCTCATGATTTGCTGGAAATGAAGGAGTGCACTTGACAGAAATGTGTACTTCCACGTATGAAATATATGCTAAATATGTCTTCTCCTTAAGCAAGAAGCACCCAAAGTGCCTATGAATTAACTCTGGATTGCTGGGGAGCGGCACTGCAGGAAGCTAGGTCTCTTCTCTCTCACAGACTGCCTAATTAATTTGCTTAATCTCTTTCTTTTCCCATGAGTTGTTTCAGCATTCTTGGATGCACCTTCAGCAGGGCAGCAACACAGCTTTAACGTTTAGGATATTGCAACATTTAGTGGTCAAATCGTGAGTGGTCAAATCCCAGAGTGTTAAAGTCTCCTGATGTTTAGCCTCTTCTGCTTTCCAGGAAAGTTCTTGTAACACCAAAAGTAGAAATTGGTCTGGCTAATTTTAGTCTTGCTGTGACTACATTTGAGGGCTTTGGGGAGTAGTTTTCTCCAACCCTACACTGCAATACATCTTAGGTAGCAGGTATAGATGCCTGTCTTCAACATGCTTCTGCTCATATATGAAAATAAAAATTGAGATGCCTAGGAAATTGCCAAGAAACACAGGAAGGCTTTTAGAGGGCCTAGCAACCTCATCAGCTAAGTAATCACAATAGCTAAGAGTGGGCACACGGACCACAGCATGCTTCAGGGTAGGACCAAGACTGTCAAAATCAGTCCTAATAGTGTCCAGTGGTAGAATTTCCACAACTTTCCATTGCAATCTATTTATTAAGCAGTTTTCCATACTTAATATTACAAAGTTTCCTAATGTCTCATTTATTTTTTCCTTGCTACAGCTTAAGTCTTTCTTGTCTATCCAAGCCTCGGAAGCAAGAACAAAAAATGTCTGTACACCATATGAAGAGAACATGAGAAGGTGTTTGTGACTAAAAGTTAAAGCTCTGGATTAAGAAGCACAATGTACACAACTGCTTGCTGAAATGGAGAAATTGTGTAGAAACGCAGTATTCTGAAGCTGCAGATAATCTTTTTGGGTATCTATCTATCTATTTTCTGAAGCAGGACATTGGACTGTTGTATGGAATAGTCTTCCCAGAAACTGGGAATAGATCAGGCAACCATTTTCAGAAGTTGTTAATTTGAGAGAGAGAGCACAGTCCAAAGTACTATTCAGAGAAAAAGTATTTTCCTAGATTTGGAAAGCCTTAAACCAAGAAGTATGGGGGTTATGTGAATTCCCACTGAATCCTAGCTCAGCTTTCTAGTTTACTTTAAGGTAAGAGTGACTTTCTCTTACATATGTAACCTCTAAGTAAGAATGTGAAAGGACAGAGATTCCAGTGGAACATTTGCTAAGGTTGTCTGATGATTCCTTACTGGGAGGAGAGATGTTAGTCTCTGCATAAAGCCCTAGAGACTGTTTTCTGTCTTCCCTAGACACCGACAGAGTAATTTTGGTAGGTATCAGGACATCACCTGCAATGCTGATGTTTTCAGTTAGTGCTAGAAATATTCTCCAGAAAAATAGTCCCTTATAACATCTTTAGACATTTTGAACATATTGGAGATTGCACTTAGGTGAAACATCAGTCCTGCAAGTTCTGTCAGAGAACTCTATTTATAACATATTGTATGTTTTTCTACTCTTTCTCCTTGATGCAATGGCTTTCCATTTGAACACAGAACTCCAAAGTAATAGACTTGAGTATTCTCTGCACTAATGCTGTGGTATCCAGTGTCAGTCTGAATAATCATTTCATTCTGGAGATCTTCTGGGCTTGTACCTGCTTCAATGTCACTGATTTGGACTTAGATTCAGTACGAGAAATATACCTTGCTTAATAATTTCATTTTGTACTTTGCCTACACAGGAGCTGGAAAGTGTTTTCCTTTAAATCTAGTCTTGGCATCAACCTGGTTCTGAGTGCCAGATGGCAAATAGTTTCCCTGCAGATTGCAGAAGTGTCTCGGAATGGATGTTTTACCTGGGCTGGCTGGAAATAGAAGCTCTGGGATCTGTGGTCTGGAGTCTCTGTCTGACACTTCCGACAGAAGAGAGGAGGAGACCTGGTATTTATCAAATTCTGCTGAAAAAGTCCAAACAATTATTGTCATGATTAATAATTTAAAGATAAAAACTCTCAAGCCATAAGGCTCAGCCACACACCTGCAGTTCAGGATCTACTGGGTACAAAATGCATGTATCACAGCTGGACAGAGAGATGGCTACAGTCTATTCCTACTAATCTGTTAGTTCTGTTATTTAATGATGGTGTGGCTATATGGTTTGAGGTCTGGAAAATAAGGGCTAAATTTTCAAGTGGAAAACCATAGTGGCCTTTAGTGGAGGCCTCAGGAAGAATAGAAGATACTAAGGAAGAGGATAAAGCTCGACTTTCAAGATAGATCTAAAGTCAAAGAATTATGGAAAGTTTTTCCTAAGAAGTTGCCCCAGGTAAAGGGAGATTTATCCCACTTGTCATGGAACTTGGTAACCTTCAGCCTTTGAAGCCTGAAAGGCAGAATGCTGCACTATTACTCTTTCATTTCAAAAAAAAGAAAGATTGCAGCAGTTATCATTTCTGTTCCTTCTCAAATACAATAGCTAACACATAGAAAATAGTTGCTGCAATTCCTCTAATTTCATCCATCAGTGGAATGCTGTAGAAACTTGATTTGTCAAACAGCACTTAAGACAGTAAGTTTGCAGGCATTATGGAAATACACTTAAAGCAGAGTGCCCTTACAAAAGTCAGTATGAAGGAGTGCGCCAATATAGAAGACAATAAGCTAAAATGTAGAAATCTCTCTCACAGTCACATAATGGCAGGTAATTATCACCATCGTTATTAGAACAAAGGTATGGCCCAGCAGGGGATGTTTAATTTCCAGAAAAAACTGCTTTATATGTTAAGGTATTTCCATTTTTGCTGGGCTGGCATTATATAAATAATAATGACAACAGGGGTGATCTAGTTTTTGGCTCCTCCAGGGCTGTGGTTGGTCCACAGATGAATTTGTGTTACAGGAAAATAGTTACTTACTGATAATTTGATTTCTTCTGCACTGTAAGCAGGGCTCAGTAAACTGCCTCTTCTGCCCTCTTCAGGAAACATCCCACTGAAGCCCAAAGGATACTTATCACTTTTTGAACCAGTGATACTGCCTTGGCCATATAAAGCAGAACTGTGGTTTCTGTGGTATCCTGTGAACCCAGTAGTCTGTTGACATTCCATTTCCCATGCATCTTTCTTTTGGGAAGTTCTAAGAGAAAAACAAATCAAAGTATGAAAACCAGTTGGAACTCTGAGCTATCACAGCAAAGCCAAGCGTGTTTTTACTGTTGTTTGTTTGCGCAATTTTGATTACTTACCTGTGCAAACTGCTTCATGCAGATCAAAAACTACCAAGCTGCAGCAATTTTGCATCTTTCCAGGTAAGTTGCTGTAAACATCTGAGTGTGCATTCCCTGTCTGCCTCGGCTATGACTTAAATCACACAAATTTAAACCTATTCACTGGAGGTGAAGTTGGATAACCTTGCCATATAATTATGGCAGGACAAGAGCTAAACCACAAACCTGCTTCAGGTATTGAAAATACCAATATTCCTTAAGTGTTTGTTGGTCATCCTTTGCCAAAGGATATCACCCTGTTAGTTTTTCAGTGGGAGAAGCTAAGTAAGCAGTCTTCAGCCAGGTCTTCACAATTTATAGTCTGATAGGATCTAGAGTGAATTTAGCCAACAAATAGAGGAAATGAAATATGAAGATGAGATGAGAAACAAAACCTATTATTAGTGATTGAATAATTAGCCAATTTTGATCTAATATAACTTTAAACAACTATGTTCAAATAGCTAGGATTTTGCTGAATAAAAAACTAGTACAGGTATCTTTGAGCCTGCATTTTTACTGCAATACTGATTTTGCCACCGATTTAATGATAACGTACAGAACAAAAGAAAGCTATTTTCTTCCCATCCAAAATATTTTCTTTTCCTGATAGTTAACTGAACAATTCTGAAACCATATTGTTCGACATGGACAATTCTGAAACCAAGAGTAGCTTGCCCATGTGCCTGCTCTATTAGACTAATTTTCAGTTGCATCTTTGCTTGTATTTATTATTATGTATTTACTTCAGCCTGGAGAAGAGAAGGCTGCGTGGAGACCTCATAGCAGCCTTCCAGTATCTGAAAGGGGCCTCTAAGGGTGCTGGAGAGGGACTCTTCATCAGGGACTGCAGTGATAGGACAAGGGGTAATGGGTTCAAACTTAAACAGGGGAAGTTTAGATTGGATATAAGGAAGAAGTTCTTTACTGTGAGGGTGGTGAGTCACTGGAATGGGTTGCCCAAGGAAGTTGTGAGTACTCCTGTTCAAGGCCAGGCTGGACAGAATCTTGGGTGTCATGGTTTAGTGTCAGAGGTGTTAGGGCAGAGGTGTCCCTGCCCATGGCGGGGGCGTTGGAACTAGAAGATCTTAAGCTCCATTCCAACCCTAACTATTCTATGATCCTATGATTATATAGCAAAACATGCAAAAAAAATTAACTTTCTGTTACAAAATTTCTGACTGATGTAAAAATTTCCATTGTAGTGAGGTCTGTGCTTATAATAAAATTGGAATTGTAGTCTTGGGAGGTAACAACTTAAACATGATAGCTGTTTGAAAAGATCCCATCATTGCAATATCCTAAAACACTTCACTAATTTGAAATGCAGTTATAAAAGCTTTTAAAGACAAGTTCTCTGACACTGAAGTATAATTGTTATAAATATTCAAGAGTATGCAGGGCTGCTCAGATCTAAGGAAAACAGCTCTTTTTTTTTTAATAAAGAAGAATTTGCCAAGCACAGGGAAAGGACAGCATTTCCTGCAGAAAGAGCACACCATCATTTTCTAATCTTAATTTCAATACTTGGTGTTGGGAGAGGGTGGCTGTACAGTCTTAATGAACCCTGCTTGTACTTAATCCCTTGTGCTGGGTTTGGCTGGGGTAGAGTTAATTTTCTTCATAGTAGCTGGTATGGGAATGTTTTGGATTTGTGCTGGAAACAGTGCTGATAACACAGGGATGTTTTAGTTACTGCTGAGGAGCACTTACACAGAGCCAAGGCCTTTTCTGTGCCTCACACCACCCCAAAAGCAAGTGGGCTGGGGGTGCTAACCGCAGCAGACTCCATGGATATTCCAGACCATATGGTGTCATTCTCAGTCTATAAACTAGGGGGAAAGCTGGCTGGAGGCCGCTGCCTGGGAGCTGGCTGGTTTGTGGGTGGTGAACAACTGCACTGTGCATCACCTGGTTTGTATATTCTGATTCTATTATTATTGTTGTTGTTACTATTATTATCACCATCATTATCATTGTCATCATCCCTTCCTTTTCTGTACCATTAAACTCTATCTCCACCCACAAATTTTACTTTTTTTTTTTTTTTTTCCCAATTCTTTCCCCATCTGACTGCAGGAAGGGAAGGAGAGTGAGGAGAGGCTGTGTGGTGTTCAGCTGCCTGCCAGGTTAAACCCTGACAGCCTTAAACATGAAAATGAGCACTCCATCAACAGACTGTGCAGAGCGACTCAGAGAACTAATGAAGAACGTATTTTTCTCTGGCTATAAAAGATGTAGTGATAAAGATACTCCAAATGCTATAGGAAAGCAAATTATAAGCATGATTTGTAATATTATTATTATTGTATTATTATTATTATACATTCTAAAATAAAACTCTCTGAGAACATTTACCCAGCCTTCCAGTTTTCTAATCAGTTAAAATGTTTACTTTTATGGGGGCAGAGTTTCCTCCTTTCATTCATTCTTTTCTTTAAATAAACAAATAAACACACTCTGCTTTTTGGCCACAGATGCCTTTTTTCTCCCCCCCCCCCCTTCCGAAGTCAATTCCATCTATTGTTTGGATGAAGGGCACAGAAGATAGATGGAATGAATAATAAAATCACAAATATTTTTTCATCTTGTGTTCTGACCCTTTTGAAGTAATTTTCTCTGTAAACCCACAGTAAAGTCTGTGAGCTGTGTTCTTTTTTATTTTCCCCCAGAACTGCTTCTCTGTGTATTTAATAACAGTTATTACTGTTACGCTATGGCTTGCTTCACTAAGACCAGAGTTTTCAGACTCAGGTGCCTACAGTTCTGGTGGCTTTTAGATAGCAAAATCAGATACCTCCCAAAAAAGGACTGACTTTATAAAGGAACTTCATTCCTACTATAATCCATAGCATTGCTGGGAAAAACATGACACCTACATTTAGGTGCTTTGATATGGGTACTATGCCTTTACTTCAGACAGACTTCACAGTTGGGGTTTAAATATCTGCCAGTTTAGTGCAATATAGTATGTAAGAACAGAGTTCTTCTTTGAATGCAAATGTAAAGGTAGGTAAATATCTGCAATTTTTCAAAACTGTCCATTTGTTAGTACTGGCAATGCAAATACACTATAACTGCAGTTGAAAAACCTGTGCTTTCAATGGGTTTATTGTCAGAGAGTATTGAACATATCTACATTCTTCACAAAAATAATATCATGGTGGACATGGTGACATATGGGACAAGAAGTGGAAGAATGATGTCTTCACAAAGGGAATTTATATAGACAGGATCGATTTTTCCAGACTCATATATAAAATCAGCCTGGTCTTTATGTGATCAATGACTTCAGTGGTGCAAAACAAATTACTTACACAGCTTGTGCTAGTTGTCATACCTGGTCTTGAGAAAGAAAACAACAGATCTTTAGTGACCAGAATGTCTTCAGAATTTGTTGCTTTCACCTGGCAAGTGTAACTGCTGGCTTGGTTTGTAAAAATGGTTAAAAAGTATTTTCCTAAGAGATTGTTTTCACTGCTTCCAGTTTATCTACTGCAACACCTGATCCAGTGGTGAGCGTGACAAAGAGTCTGTGAACTCCAAAAGGTAGTGAAAACCTCCTTGAGACACAGTTCACTGTCAAGACAGATCCTTTAAGTGATCCCCAGCTACCTTAGTGGGCATTCATTCCTAGCCTTTACCCCTCACTTTTGCCAGATGATGAAAGAGCACTTTGGCTTGTCCAATTACCTATTTTGTGTGTACTTTCGTGGTGAATAAGTAGCCTTTCATTGGGAGCTCACATGCATGTTTTAATTTTGGCAGAAATGGGCTAAATAAATCAGCTTCATCAGAGGAAGCCCTCTTCAACCATACCAAACTTCAAATCAACTGTATGTGGCTGAGGTCTAAATAAAGGATTGGAGTCTTGAGGGTGGGGAAAGCTTCTGTGAACGGCAATTAGAAGTAAGTCAACTACCCTACATGAGAACAGTAGTTACTTAAAGTGGTTGTAGGTAGGATGTGACTACAGGCTTTTTTAGGTAATAGATGCCACTCCTGCGTATCTTACTTTGTAATATTTAGAAATTCCCTGCATACTGAATAAAAGCAGAAATCAGGGCTCTTTCTAAACAACGGAACCTCCTGCAATTTCCTGCGTTTTCTCTAGAGGTCTCCTATCTAGCTAATGCCGGGGCCCATGCCTTGGATTCTAGTACGGGTTGAGGGACGTGACTGAAAAGCATTATGGAATGTAGCTGGTCAAAGACTTTTTGTAGTTGTGCAAACCTTTCTACGTTTCTGAATGCAAATAGGAAAAACTAAAAGTAAAGTTTCTGAAAATGGCTCTGTAAAACACAAACACCCCTCTTGCACAAACACCATGTTTTCTACTTCTTTTACTCTATAAAAAACAGTGGTTTTGTCCTTTCTTCAGTGCCATAATTACCATGGAAACAGAACTGCAAATTAAAACAGAAATAACATGGTTTATGCTCACAATAAAATAAAATATACCCTAGAGTTTGACTCAACCAACATAAATTGCCTGAATTATCTGCATACATTTGATTGTTGAAAATTCAATTTTAGTTTTCTGAGAAAATCTTGAGGTAGTTCCTGTTTGGGAACAGGGAACTGACAGTACAGAGAGGGCTCAGTCTTAAAGAGACTGGCTGGCTGATGTGTATGTACACTACATGTGGAATTTGTGTATGTATTTATTTAGCTAAATAACTTTTCATTTAGCAAATCAATCACGTTTCAGATCCTGAAAACCAGGCTCAATAGATCTGTTTCACCAAATTCATTAGAATCGTATTTTAAATTGTGTTCAGTTATGTGGTTGAGGTTTTTCTGTTGTTAGAAAGGTTCTCTTCCCCAGGTTTCTCTCTCCCAGTTTTGGTTTAATGTTGGTCTTCAGTAGCTAAATAATCAGAATCCTGCAAAGTACCTGCATAGTTCTATTGTCTCATGCACTTACATGCTCACAAATGAAATTTCACAGTTCCTCATGTACAGCAAGTTTTATTCCTGAGAGAATCTGACTTTCTCTCTATTAAAGAGAGTGGAAGCATGAGCAAAAAATGTACTCACCAATTTTTGTTGAAATTATGAGAGCTGCACCTTCTGAGGTGCAGAATACTCTGTAACTTGGTTTGTAAATATTTGTTTCAGCAAAACCTTCAACATCAGGCTTCCCAGGGAGGTGGTGAAGTCACCATCCCTGGATGTGTTCAAGGTCCTCAGTGACATGATTTAGTGGTGGACTTTGCAGTCCTGGAGTAAAGGTTGGATCTGGTGATCTTAAAGGGCTTGTTCAATCTAGTTGATTCTATAATTCTATCATTTGAAACTTAGGAAAACAACCATACCTGCCATTTCCATATATATATGTGTATTATGTATATGCATATATATGTACATGCACACATACAATATATATATATGTATTTGTATACACCTGAATACTACCTACAACACTAAACTATATATTTAACAAAATATTCCAGAGGAAGTTTTAAGCAAGAATGTTGCTACATATAATGGGATGCCTTTCTATTTTGCAGCAAGAAAATGACTTCAGATTTTGCCAATGACTGAATGTATGAGCTTGAAATAACCTGTGTAATTTTGGCTTCAACTGATCCACATTAGTGTTACCATGTAAGTTCTTTTTACAAATGATCAAAATATTTAGCTTCCTATTAATTTTACTCTCGCGTACTGTGAAATATTGTTTAGCATGGGGTTTAATTTTCTTTTTATTACTGCAATGCCATGATTATAACATGTTTGAAGGTAATTCAGAGCTTCACTGAATACAGGGAAATAAGAAGGAAGTCATCACTACAATGTTTTCTATAGCCTGAGTACTTTTGTCTCGTTATTTTTCCCTAACAAGGAGTTTATTGTAGTAATTATTTATTCAGGGCACCTGAAATTATGTTTCATTTAAAAATCAGGTCACCCAAGAACACCAAAACTAGACAAGGCATTAAAATACATTTAATGAAACCTCCAACAAATGAAACTGGTGGGACAGAGAGGTTTTCAGAAGGGGCTGTAGTTCAAACTGCTTATTAAGATAACTTCCTGTGGAGCAGTTTACCTCTCATGTTGGTTTTTATATTCTTTCCTTGTCTTGTTTTTATTTGGCAGTAAAAATACATCCTGTCCTGTTTTGTAAGACCTGGAACTAAGAGTAACTTATGCAGCACATAAAAAGTTTTTAAAGTCATTTCATGTGAAAAACATTTAAAAAATGATCAAACATGTCTAGGACTTCATTTATTGCCAAATTCAGTCAGCCACCTAGAAAAATGTAGGGAATTCTTACAAATATACTAACTAGGTCTGATATTTATGTTGGTGGGAGTTCTGAATGAGCAGAAACAGCAGAAAAGCTTAACAGTTCAGCCCAGTTAGATGCTTGCAAAAACCTTACAGGAAGATTCATATATATGACAATTTAACTATTACCTCTCTTCCTTTTCTTTCATCTTTGAGTGGGTTTGGTAGCTGTGCTCTGTTTCTCCATATGTACCCATGCGACCCAGCAGTGATGTTTCCGTGTCATTTTGAAGTTTAACAAGACTACTTTGTAATCTTACATTCTCATATTCCGGTTTGTGAATGGAAGATGTGAAATTTCCGTGTTGTTTGTTACATAAATCTATACTCTGTGCAAGAAGATAAAGCCATCATTATATAGTTATCTATCTTCTCCACAACAAATGGATGTTAGTATTTTTAACAAGCAAACACAAACAATGTTCTATGCTAAAGAAAGACCTAGCTACTATATATAATCATGCAGCACTTAGAGCAAACCAAGAGAATTGCCTCCAGAAAAAAATCCACTGTAGATAAATGGAAAAGAATGGATAACAGCCTCTATAACACTATAAAACAAATTAAAGTTTCTCAACAAACATGCATCCAAAATATTATTATTGTAAACTCATCAGTTGCTTTGTAAAACTTATGACATAAAAGAAACCATAACAGCTATAGCTGCAGACTGTATTGCTCCCTCCAGTAGCAATCCCACCAGAAATAATAACAAAAAATTATAGAAGTTCATTACTTTACTATATATAGGGTATGTCTACAGGCACAATTTAATATCTGTGTCAAGATACAGTCACCTTCAGCTTCAGAAGCAGTAAAGTAAAGCCACATTAGCACAGTGCTCTGTGTGTTACTAAACCCTGCTTCTCAGCTGGGTTAGTCCACACAGTATACAAGTCGTAATACTAAAAGTGCAAGCAACATTTGCTCTGCAACTAGGGCTTAAAGAGGACCATCCACTAAGGTATAAAGAAGGGAAGATGGAGATTAGCTCTGGAAGTTGACTACCCAGGATACTGCGTTCCTTTTTTGTCCTGTCACTTTTTCTATAAAGCCTATGCTGCACACCAGAGCTAGCTAATTCAAAACTACTTCTCTGCATAATACTGCATTGCATTGTGTAAGTATATCTGCAATAGCAGTACAGTGTCATTGACAGAAAAATCTCAAATGATTTCATAGAACCATAGAACAGTGTGGGTTGGAAAGGACCTTAAAGATAATCTATTCCAACATCTCTGCCCCAAGCAGGGACACCTTCCACTAGACCAGGTTGCTCCAAGCTCCCCGTCCACCCTGGCCTTGAACACTGCCAGGGATGGGGCAGCCACAGCTTCTCTGGGCAACCTGTGCCAGTGTCTCACCATCTTCATTAAAAAAAACCAAGCAAACAAACCCCTTTCTTATGAACAATCTATATCTCCCCTCTTTCAGTTTAAGACCTTTGCCCCTTCTGTTACTACGAGCCCTGGTAAGAAGTCTTTCTCCATCTTTCTTATAAGCGCTGATTAAGTACTGAAAGGTTGCTCTCCATAGGAGAGATGGTCGAGTCCTCTGATTATTTTTGTGGCCTCCTCTGGACTTGCTCCAACAGGTCCATGTCCAGATTATACACAGAATACTAAAACCCAAAACATTCTATTAAGTTTTGCTTTCATATATTTCTAGATTTACCTTATTCTTTTGGAAGTTGATAACTCGTGAGTATTAAGCATTTGGATCTTAGTATACAGTTAGCACAACTTGAAAGCTTGTCTATTCTTTGCACTATCTGATCTAATGTTATCTCTTCCTGTAACCCTTGCCTCACTTAGCTAATTTTAGGGGAAATTTATGAGCCAAGCTGGCATGGAAGTGCCAGAAAGTAAAAGGAAATTTAGTATTTATTGCAAGGATGGCAGGCAGGGGCTCAGCTGTGTCTCCAAAGTGAAGTGGCAGAACAGAGGAAGGAGAGCACTAAGTCACACTACCACTACTAGCTCTCAAGTCAGCAGTACACTTATAACAGCATGTACCCCAAAACTGAGATGGCACAGCTACATTGCTTTTTAAATCTAAACAAGTAACCCTGCCTGGTGATGCATTACACCACACCGACTTAAGCTTAGCATTAGTTTGAGGAGTCTGTGTAGTGCTCTGCTGTACTATGCAAACACATCTGTAAAAAATCTCTCCAGTTCCTGCAATCTTAGCATGAAATACCTCGCAATCTTTAATGTTTAGATTTTGCCAATACATTAGTAAAGTAGGAAAGACTTGTTAAGTCCATAAATGTATTGATATATGTAGTGACCTTGGTATATCTACTGACTGGATTTTACTGTTCAAATTTAACAGACATGGTATCTACAAAGATACTTTTCAGACAGTTCTCAATCTTCATGAAGAATGCCACCATAGAGAAGAGCTAGACATGCATAAACACATCTGTCTACGTTTCCACAATAATGTCACATATACACATACATATATCCATAATAGTGTACATGTATGTATAGGTAATACATCACTGACAGACATATATGCTATTTTAAGGGTGTGGAAAAATGTGGCATTCTTTCATACATTTGTCAGTCTAGAGTAAGGCAATTAACAGGCTACAAATCCCCCAAAGATATATTTACAGCACAATTTGCAAGCAACATTGCAGTGTTTTTTCTAGTGATAGATAAAATAACTGCAGATGTTCCGTAAACAGGAGACATTTTGAAGCTTTTTGTGGAAGGCAGCATATACAACATTTATTGTACCCATAAAAACTACAGTACTACATGATTTTGTGGCACACTTTTTATGAATTAAACTTTAAAAATCCCCTGTTTGAAGAAAAATAAATGCTGAACTCCAAAAATAAGGTGGGTGGGGGCAATATATGTCTGGTTTTTACACAGTTATTTAAATATCATATGAAGAAACCGGTAATATAGTAAAACCAGGACATATCTTCGTATCTGTGAGAATGATGACAGTTTAAAAAGACATATTTTCTGAAATAAGTGATGTAACTTACAATAAATAAGCTCCAAGAAACTGTTTATTGTCTAGACAGTTACTGAAAAATTTACCTTACTTCTGCTTTACTACAGCTAAGGTCAAAATTATTCCTAGCTATACCCATCTTCAGGCTGAGTTAAATCCACTTGGTGCTGATTATGTCTCACACCTTATCTGTATTAATTTGTTTTACTTAGGTCAGAAATCTCTAAATCTGCCATGATCTCAATCTACATTTACAGTAAATATAAGTAACTGTTCTGCATATTGCATAGATTAAAAAAAATACCATGCAACTTTTACACACCTGCTTTTCCACCATCTCTTTTAGATGTGTGTTTTCAGAGCTCACAACTTTGTATTTGGAATCCAGGAACTAGGAAAAGATTAAATTCTCTGTTAAATACAAGAACATTACTGTTAACTTTAAATGACACTGAGTATAGATATATATGTTTAATTTTACAAAACATACATAATTATGAAACTAAATACAATGTTTTTTAAATACAGCAATAATAAAGCAGGAAGAAGTCTTAAACCACCTATAAAAGATACACAGGTGCAATGCTTCTGATTTTAGTTACCTTTTTTCACTTAGGAAAATATGGGAGTTCACTTGCAGTTAGGAGATACAAAGAGAGACAGATTTTGCAGGCCACTGAAACTGGGTGAAATCTTAGTCATGGAGCCTAGAAACGACATCCACTCTTTTAGTGCTATGGTAGGGAATATAGGCTGGTAAAGCCACACAATAGGAGATGTCTCATTTTCCCAAGCACTAACTTTCCTATTGTCAAAAATGAAGTATTACATTAAATACAACTTTCAATATGCAGTGACCTTCTCAAAAAACAGAGATCCCCAGAAAACTCTAAATATGAAGGTTCTTTTTGTTCACAAAGCCAAGTAATGAAGGTAACATATTTGTTTTTAATACTAAAAATTGACATTAAAGCACTGGTATCTTACAGTTTTCAGCTTTCAAATTATCAGAATTTTCTAAGCAGATAGATACGTAACATTCTTCAAAAAGCTTTAAAAAAATCCCTGAAAAAGTGTTCTAGATACTCTAACAAACAGTTCTAATGATAAAGTGCATATAATACAACAAACTTGAAGTTTTCAAGCTCTTTTGCATGATAAAATGATAACTACAGTCAATAGTCAGAATGAATTGCAATTTAGATGTACAGTTGACATTTGCCAGTGCATTCTTGTTCCAGTGTCAATTTGGCTGCTCTAGTAACACTTCACAGATATTACAGCACTGCTGATGAAAACTACAGCAAGAAATGTAATGTCTTTTTTCGCAGATAATATATGTCATTACCAATAGTGTGGAGTAAAATGATCTACGCTGGTTTTGCCTGCTTGCATACCTGTTGTTTTGCTAACAATTTGTCTTTTATCTCCAACTCCATTTTTAACTGTCTTTCCAGAAGACTAGCTTTCTCCATGATAGTTGCTATAGTGATCTCCTGATGAAGCTCTTCTGTCAGGTCAGAGATTTCCGTCTTCATTCTTTCCTTCTCAGAGTGATGGGACTGGTCCTCTTGATAAACATGGTTTCTTATCTGGAGCAAAAGGTTTCAAGAAGAAAAAATGTTATGCAGTATATATGATTGCATCACTTGCTACCTATCAGTGACCTTTTTGCTGTTGCTTCCAAGGTATCAACTCTTCTAACTGAACCGGAGATTTTTGACATTGCATAATAAAATGTCTTCGTGAATCAGGGCATATAGCTTTATTTATTTTTATGGGTTTGGTTTTTTAACCCTTCTGTTGTGCTTTCATTTACCTATTCAGTATTAGAATTGAACACAATACAAGACATTTAAATTGACATTTAAAAAGAATGTACTAAAAAGAATGCTAAAAATTGGTATTTATGGCAAAGACTATCCAAGGAAATATCCATTCAATATACCTAAGTCTGATTTAGTTATATTGCTCCTAAGTTAATTTAGGTTTGAAATAAGTTTAATGCAGCCTAAATTAACTTAGGGCAATATAAATAAATCAATCTAGAGACTCTTTGATGAGAAACTGTGTTAGAAATAAAGAGCATATACAGTAAATCACTGTATGAGAATTTTTCCTACTGTAA